CGTTTCACGGTTGCCACAATAATCACAGTCCTCGACGGAAGAGAGGTGGCGTCGAAACCGCTCCACGTTGGTAAGTAGTCGTTCTGTACAAGCGAGCCATAAAAATTGTCGGACCCGCTGCGGTGCCATAACCCTCCAGATGATCTTCCAAATCGGTACAGTAGGTGCAGTTGTAGCCTGCAACAGAGAGGCATAGGCAGATTTTGTGGTGAAGGTTCCGTCCGGCGAAAATCCTCATATCAACCTGTCTTCACCGGCCGTTTCTCGTTGAGGAACTGTGGCTGTGATTCGAATTAGGATAGCCGCAGGGAGGAAACCTTGAAAACATTCCCAACGCCAATCCCCGAGTTCATTGATTAGGTCCGCCACTGTCAAAGACAAGTTCGCTTCACGTAAGTCCCTAGTTACGTGCAACCTCAAGGGTCCCATCGTTCCCAGCCACGGCTCAACCCAAAACCGGACTTTTTTGCCATCCCCAACGATCCAACGCATACCATGGACCACACGCGGCCAAACTTTCAGAATAGCGCGCATCAGGCCCGAGCTCCGCCGGCAATTAGACGGTACGTCCTCAGGCAGCCGAGGGATATGATATTTAGCTTTAAGTACGCGCACCGATAGAGAATTAGGCTTCATCAGTATACCCCACCCTAACTTCATCATTAGAGCTTCATTCATTAAACGGAGGTTTTTAAGTCCAAGTCCCCCCTCTGATTTGGCTCGACAAACGTCAGGCCAAGCAACCAAATGGACCTTTCTTTGCATATCCGACCCACCTCAGATGAAAGCCCGACATCTCCATTGAAGCTGGTCTATAATAGCATAGGGCAGCCGAGCAGTTTGCATAGCATAAATCGGTAGAGTGCTTAGAACCGATTGAGTAAGGGTCACACGACCCGCCATCGAGAGCGATTTCATGCGCCATCCCGCGAGCCGGGCTTCGGCCTTATCCGAAATGTGGACATATGTATGCTTAGTCACTCGCCCGTGAATCAACGGCATCCCTAGATACTTACCCAGATCATTCGTTAACTTGAAGTTAAGCAGCCCAGCCAAACGCACTTGTTCATGTTGGGCGACATTGTTAGAGAAGAGCACCTGAGTTTTTTCCGGGCTGATCCTAAATCCCGAAGAGTCGCAAAAGAGGCGCATTACATGATTTAGGATCGCCACCAGGTCATCCGAAGCCTCCAAGAAAAGCATTAGATCATCAGCAAACATTAAGAAAGGTACTTTAATAAATGAGGCCTATACTGACCGGCCCAATAGGGAACTGTCGTGGGCCTGCAATTTAATTGAATTTCGGCCCAATAATGTAACCCTTTGACATTTCATTTCATAATAAAATTAAAACCCCACCTAAAACCTCAATTCCATCTCTTCCTTGCTCCCATGGCTTCCATCGCAGAACCTCTTGCCGTCGCTTCACGGCTCCAAAGATCCACCTTAGATTCAGCCGTGAGCGCCCTTTTGAAATTCAAATCCGCCGCCCAATCATCCACCGACAAGCTTCAGCTCCTGCCGGAAGACGATTACATCTATCTGAACCTCACCCTCAAGAAAATCGCCTCAAACCCTCGCACGATCCCCTTCAGAATCCCCCTCCCCCATCCGATTCTCGACGCTGCTTCGCAGCTCTGCCTGATAATCGACGACAGACCTAAGTCGCCGACGCCTCCCTTGGACAAAATCAAGAAGCTCATCAAGGCCCAGGACATTCCCATTTCCAAAGTCATTAGGATTTCGAAGCTCAAGTCGAACCTGGTCGACAAGAGGGTGGTACATTTGCTGCCCAAGCTGATTGGAAAGAAATTCTTCAAGAAAAAGAAGCTGCCTCTTGGGGTGGATATGGGCAAGAAGAATCTGAAGTTGCAGGTGGAAAGGGCTTTGGGGAGTGCCCTTTTGTATATGAGGACCGGGACTTGTTGCGTGATGAAGGTCGGCAAGGTGTCCATGGAGAAGGAAGAGATTGTGGATAATGTGTTGGATGCAGTTCATGGGGCTGTTTCAGAAGGTGCCGAAAAAACGGGATGGCGTGAGGAGTTTGCATCTGAAGTTTTCAGACTCGGTGGCTCTGCCCATCTACCATGCAATGCCGGATGTGAAGCTGAAAATCGAGGGTCTGAAGGAGAGTGATAGAGAGGGCGAACGTGCAAAAGATAGCGAGACCGAGGGTGAGACTAAGGAAATGAGTGGGAGGAAAGAGGGTAAAGTTGGGAAGAAACAGAAGAAGGGGAGAATTCATGAAGTTCATTATATGGATGTTGGTGAGAATATGGAGAGTGATGGTGGTGTGGATGAAAGTGAGCGTGTGGGGAGTGAGGTTTATGGTACGGAAGGAAATTTAATGGAGGAAGGTGACTATGACGAAGGTGGTACGGATGATGATAAGAAGACCTGAGGAAGATGAGATTGTTAAAGCAGCTTTGGAGCAGCTATATAGAACTAAAGCTTCGAAAGAGAAGTCGGTGAAGAAAGAGGCAAACGCTGAGAGAAGTGGTAGAGGGAAACCGAAAAAAGATGAATCATCTGGAAAGAAGGGGAAGAAGGAGAAGATTGAGATTGAGAAAAAGTCAGTTGAAAAGATTGCCAAGGTGAAGGGTGAGAAACACACGAAAAAATGTCCTCACAATGATCTGAATCAGAACTAGAGTTCTCTCGATTTGATTCTTGGTTGAGAGCTGAGGAGGAACTTTTCTTGCGATCAAGTGCTGTATCGTCTCGTGCATTGGTTGCTTAATATAAATTTTGGTAACAAGAGCTGTGCTTGTGTTTTGTTTCTTAAGAGATCTTGTTCTTTGTTTACTTGTGCTTGATGTAGCAATCTTTAAGAATTTTTACTTCAATTTTATGTTATATATGGGCAACTCTTCCTGAGCTACATGTCATTATTCAAGATGATGAGAGCTTGCAGAATTCCTTGCTTGTGTTGTTTGGCTGATTTTTAAATATTTCTTATGGGTGTTATTTTGTCTGCTAATGTTGTACTCAATTCAAATGGCAATCCCTATTTATTTAATGTTAATGCTGAAATTAGGCCTCGTATTTACTCAACTTTCTATGCTATGTGTTTTCCATTCCGTATCTTCTTATGCGTTCGGCGTTCAGAATATATGATGTTTGCTAGTCAATTCAGTTTAGATTTGACAATAATCGTCATGCCACGTATCTCAAATTCTTCTATTCAAGAATGGCGAATTTGCTTGTATGATCAGTCTATTTGCGGTTTGCTTCTCTCGAGTCCATGTGTAAGGCAATGGTATGTTTTCTGTACCACATTGTGTTCCGGGTTCATGTATTTGCTCTGACGAGTAAATCAACCTTAGTCAGTTTTAACCCATTTATTATATAGTACTCTAGGTTCTATATGTAGATTTGCAAACCCATGATATCGTTGTGACTTGTGTGCTTTTGCTAGATGTAATGCTAAATTACATCGTACAATCAGTATTTAGGACCCCTTATTCGACTTCCAAGGATGTGCATTTCGTCTTTCTTTGCTGAGTTAGGATGTTAATTCTATCTTATTTTCTTGCAAAACCTTAAGAAAATAAGTTTTGCCCGGAATTTCGACTCTCACTGTCCTGGATTGGATTTGTTGTATTATGTATTCTCATTTCTATTCATAATCCCTCCAAGAAAACATATATTGGAAATTTTGATGGGTAGATATCTTACCATTAAAACAAAATGTTGCAGCAGCAAATGCAGTTAATACTTAATACCTTAGAATGAATTAGATCACTTTAAGAATCAAAAGGGACAGATACTTCCCTCACTTATTCTGTTAAATTTTGTCTTCAACATTTACATCAAATGAAACAATGATAAATGAATAAGGAAACTGAACCATATACAAAACAAATAAACAAGAACACAGTCGATAAATTTGCAAAAATAAGAATTCGTCTCGTCTGAGCTTAGAACCTTGAGCGTTTGCACTCGATAGAAGTTCCATGAGGAAACCTCCGATTATCAGCACAATAGTTATAGACCATATGCCTCTGTTGAACCCATCTGAGTCTATTTCTTCCCTTAGCATCAAGCTCAAAATTCTTAGACTCTGGGCCGTTTTCAATCCTGAAATTTCTGTAGTATGCCACAAAAGGAGCCTTTGTCCAGTCTGTCTTGACCCGACCGCCTTGAGTTGCCCACTCGTCTGCATTCCACAAACTGCAGTACACTAATCCTCTTGGTGTTTGGGAACAGCACACCACTTTGACTCGTGGTTGTTGGAAACTCGAATGGGACTATTGTCCACCAAAATCTTAAACTATACTTGGTTCATTAGTAACTACAGAAAAAAGTTATGTGGAAGGAAAACTGGGTCCTCTCTAAAGTCGAACCGAAAAAAACTATTTTCAAATTCATTTTGCAGTAATTGTCGCAACAATAATATTTCTCGGCATATTCTCTCTAGAAACCCAAATTTGGGTCTTCAAGAGAAACTCAAAAACCCATTTTGGTTTTGATTTGCAATTCGATTGGAGAGTTACTGATGGAGACGAGATCGCGATGGCATTTATGGACAAATATGATCGTTTACCATCTTTAGTTTGATTATTATTTTCCTACTTATTTTATTATTATGCTTTATTTCCTTTTCCTACTTAGTAGATGAATAATTATTTCCTTTGGGATTTTATTTAATTAGGAAATTAGGGATTTAGTTTGATAGGTCTCTATATATTGTCCTTTCTTCTTCAAAGAGAGGCAGACTTTTTACGAATAAAATTATCAGATTGAGTTTTCTCATCTTGTTCCCTTTTCGTTTAATTGCTGCGCTACATCATTTGGTATCAGAGCCAGCCCATGTGCCAGCGGTGACCGCTGGGCCCACAAGGGGGGGTGGATGATGCAGGGCATCCCACATCGGGTTTGAAAGGAAACGAAGCAGGCCTTATATGAGGATGTGGATACCTTCACTAGTAAGACGCGTTTTGGTGGGTGTGTATTGAAGCCCAGCCAAGAACAAAGCCGTGCGGGTGGCGGAAGTAGCCGAAAGCGGACAATATCTTACTAGGGTCTGCACCAGTTGGTATCAGAGCTAGCTACGATCCGAGATGCCGCCCAAGAGGAACGATCCCGCAGACGACAGGAGGGACGCGGCGATTGAAGCCCTAACGCGGCACGGCGAGGAGATGAGCCGCGATATGGCAGACCTCACGGCGGGCATGGCTGATCTTCGCGATGCTCTGCAACTGCTCATGCGACGTGATCAAACGAACCGCGGCGGGCCCGACGATCGGGATGGTGGTCGCGGTGGGTATCGTGGTGGCCGTGGCGGTCGCGGCCACGCGCGATTTGGTGGCAGGCAGCGAACGCCGCGTACGGAGGAGGACGGCGATGATTCTGATGCCACGGAGGAGGCGATTAATCCGTTCGGTCGGGAGGAGCCACGGGTCGAAGAAGCGGCGGCCGGTGATCGGCGCTGGGAGGCTTCTTTCCGCGTGGAGATTCCAGAATTTTCCGGCGGGCTCAATGGTGGTGACTTCCTCGATTGGCTGGGCTCGGTCGAGGCGGTCTTGGACTATAAGGAAGTGCCGGACGAGTATCGCGTGGGTTTGGTCGCGACTCGGCTACGGGGACGAGCGGTGGCCTGGTGGTTGCACGTCAAGGACTCGCGGCGGCAGCAGGGCAAACCGAAAATCGCGACATGGGGTAAGTTCAGGAAACATATCGAACGTGAATTTCTTCCATTTAATTATGTTCGCACCATGTACCAGCAGCTGCAGAATTTACGGCAAAGTGTTCGATCCGTCGACGACTATACGGACGAGTTCTATCGCCTGCTCACGCGAGTCGACATTCGCGACACTACAGATCAATTGGTCTCACGATATATTGGTGGCTTGAGGGTCGGAATTCGGGACACGCTGAACTTGTTCTCGCCGTACACGGTGTCGGCCGCTCATCAACGGGCCTTACTTGTCGAGCAACAGCAGGCTCGCCGTGCTCCTACGGCATCAGGTTTTAATTGGCGCACCGGTCAGCCGTCCTCTTCGGCTTCAGCGCCAGCCCGATCTCCGGCTTCGGGGGCTCCACAAACAGGTCGCAGCCACACGCCGGGCCCGACGGGATTTTTGACTGCGGGAGGATCGACGAGCACGGGTGTTGGATTTTCCCATCAGCCTGGTACGGACGGTTCTCGGACCGGGGGTGGACTGAGGTGTTTTTCTTGCGGGGAATCGGGCCATCGCCAAATGGCCTGTCCCCGCCGTACCGGTTCCCGTACATTAGTGGCTGATTTTGATAGTTCTGGACATGAGGAGGCGGGTTATGATGGTCCGCCAGTTTATGATGACGAGCCCGAGCCGGCTGAGGAGCATATTCACGGAGATGTGGGGCATGCATTGATTTTACGGCGCTCCTGTTTATGGCCTCGGGCTTCTACTGAGGACTCTTTACAACGCCACAATCTTTTTGAGTCTACGTGTACTGTGGGTGGTCGTGTCTGCCGCTTCATTATTGATACAGGGTGCTGTGAAAATGTGGTCGCACAAGATACGGTTGAGCGTCTTCACTTATCCTCCGAACCGCATCCTAATCCCTATACTTTAGCTTGGATTCAGAAGGGCAACTCTGTACAGGTCAATCGGCGTGTTTTGGTGCATTTTTCGATTGGTCCCAAGTACCGGGACACGGCGTGGTGTGACGTGGTCCCCATGGACGCATGTCATCTATTATTGGGTCGCCCGTGGCAGTTTGATCGTGCAGTGTCTTACGATGGGCGTCTCAACACTTACAGCTTCTTGTTCGAGGGTTCTCGAATGGTTCTGCATCCGTCCCCTCCTCGCCCGATTTCTACTGGTTCTTCGGCCCCGGTACTCTTTCTCTCTCGGGCCTCCTTTTTGGGCGAAATGCAAGGGGCTTCGGTTGTTTTGCTTCTCCTCGGTGCTGATGTTGGGGGCGACAGTCCCACTCCCGACGTTATTCGGCCCTTGCTCGAGGAATTCTCTGATGTTTTCCCGGCGGAGTTACCAACTGGCCTTCCTCCACTTCGAGATATCCAGCATCACATCGATCCCATTCCGGGGGCTTCTCTTCCGAATCGGCCGCACTATCGTATGAGCCCAGCCGAACACGAGGAGCTCCGGCGCCAGGTGGAGGACCTTCTCACACGCGGGGTTGTTCGT